TGGGTTTTTCGGGCTTCTTGGCCGTGTTCTGAAAGTGGTTCTTCCTAATGTTTCGCCAGTCTCTGTGACCGGCATCTTCAGAGGACAGCAAACTTTGCTGTCCTCTGAAGATGCCGGCCACAGAGACTGGCGAAACGTTAGGAAGAACCACTTTCAGAACACGGCCAAGAAGCCCGAAAAACCCACAACAACCATTAGAACCCGGCCGTGAAAGCCTTCGCGAATACATTTAAAACTGATTGATTGAAGAAAAAATAATGTATGGTTTAAAAAGCAAACACCATCATCTTCAAAGTATTTTTATCTGCTTACGTTGGGTAACCAATCTGATGTCTCCTGATTGTCTCAAGTTCTCTGTTTTTAAATTTCTTAAACTTCTTGACAAGTCCACTCATCTCTCCACTGGACGCATATGGAAAGCTGAGGATCTCCACAACATCTGTAAAACACAACCATCCTTTATTAGTCAGGAACTGCAAAGATCTATTACCCTACACAAAAATCATGTGTCCACAGTGGAAGAATTAGTCTGCAACAAGAAACAAAGATTCTGCCTTTTTCTTTTCTTTTTTCTTTCTTTCTTTCTTTCTTTTTGTATACAGTAGTGCATATCTATCAGGAAACATTTCCCTGGTCTCCATAAAAATCAGATAGGCTTCTTTTTAAAAATGACAAATCCCAGGTTCCACTGTCCTGATCCTAGGCACATTTATTCAGAAGGACATATGCACTGACGAATGGCCCCAGAACCATCGTCTTGTTTCCCAAGGGACCCACCAACAGTTAGACCTTATGAACTCTAGCCCTGGCAAAGAGCCAAGGCTTGATCCAATTGTCAGCCTCAGATAAATCAAATGAATGGGAATTATATATGTGTTGACACACCATTCACAAACTGATTTACTGGGTAATTACCAATTGGATTAAGGCCTATGTGTTCTGAGTGAGAGTGGTAAGTAACCGTGGCATGACGGCAATGGCACAAAGTGGAGTTGCAACCTGATTTAGGTCACTGTGCTAGGGGAACAATATGGTCTTATGCCTCCAAGCCTGTTACAGCCTCCTCTGTCAGATACCAAACGAGAACATTGCATTTGCACTAGAACTAATACACTGCACAAAACTGGATACAGAGATGTCAGACTGGCAGAGTGGGAGGAGCAGTGAGAAACAATCCTCACATCAGCACATGGTTCAGCAGGTGGAGATGGCACCGTTCACGACAACAAATATTATTCTGGAAACCTTTATACTCAAGACATGCCTAGTCAGCCACACCCATGGTCTCAGGTGTTCATGTTGTCTACCTAGAAAATGCTGAATAGGGTCACCATAAGTCAGAATTGACTTGATAGCAGACAGTTACTATTAAGAAAATATGTTTAGTATCAGAGTCCAAGCAGCAAGTTCCATTTTATGCCTCTGGCAGTGAGCATGCTGTGATTTCAAATACAGAATGTACATGTTTAGAATCCTTCTGCTTTAATTGGGACTGGCACTTTGCTCAAATGCAATCGGAAATAGCTATACAACATGGAATGGTACTGGTGGGGTGCTGAGTGCAGACGGTGAAGGGAGATGTTTGTTAGGCTCATTCACAACTGTAAGGTGAGATGGGTACATAAGACCATCAGAGAACAACATTACCAAGCCACACACAACTGTGTACGTTGGAAGGAATTAAATGGATTTTGTGCCACTTAAGACTGCAATCAGATGGTGATTTATGCCTTTTGGGCTGTTTTCAGCGTGGTCAGGTTTGGTCCATTTTTCAGTACATATGATATTCCAGCAGTCAGGAACAAGCCTCACCTTTTACCATTCCTAGCCACACCTTTTTGGACCCCAGGTAGGGCTACTTTTAACACATACAGTCATGAATGCTTGTTTTGGCTCAGTTTCTGGCAGATGTGATCACTAGAATCAAATCATATCAGATCCTTGATAAAGTGCAAGAATGAAGCAAACTGCCCCCCACCCCCCACTTTCTTCAGAGAGGGAGACAGAAGAGGATGGGGAGAAGGAACTTTTGTTGTTGTTGTTTGGCTGGTGTTAAAAGCCCACAGCTATATCACTTCATGGGTGGCTGATTTACCAGCATGCCCCTTACCAATAAAATTGTTGTGTGGCTGTTCTTATGCATTCTGTCTATAGCATTCTGTGTCCTGTTACATCTACATCAAGGGTGGACAACCTGTAGTCCTCCAGGTAACTTTGGATTGCAGCTCCTATCAGTACCAGCCAGTGAAGCTAATGGTAAAGGGAGATGTTGTACAGCAACATCTGGAGGGCCACATGTTCTCCACAACTGACCTATGGGTTGGATTCCAATGTGGCTCCCCTCTCCCAGCCCAGTTCCATTTGCAGGTATTATCCTCGTTGCACATAACTCCCTTTGTATTGTTTTTCTAAAATGAGGGATGGGTTCCCTATTAATCTGTCTGTGATTTCAGAACAAAGCAGAATCTGAAATGATGCTTTGATCAAACAAAGCACATTTTAAATAAGCCACAGCTCCTCAGGAAAAGCACTTCTGGAAAATGGAGGAAAGGAAGTCATGAGATTGTACATGGCAACTTAAGGTCTGTCAGCACAGAGAGAGGATCCCTACACACATAGACACACAGACACACAAAGGCCATTTTCCTAGGAAAAACAAAAAGGCAAGGCTGGGGAGCTCCCGTATTTCATGGTTAAAATACAGCTCCCATCATTCTTCACTTTTGGTTAGGCTGGCAGATACCATTGGGAACCAGAGTCCAACAGATCTGGGAGCACAGAGAGGAACCCCCCCCCCCACATAGACACACAAACACACAAAGGCCATTTTCCTAGGAAAACCCAAAAGGCAAGGCTGGGGAGCTCCCGTCTTTCATGGTTAAAATACAGCTCTCATCATTCCTCACTTTTGGTTAGGCTGGCAAATACTATTGGGAACCGGAGTCCAACAGATCTGGGTGGATACAGGTTCCTCAGCCTTGCAGGAAAGAAAATGTCCTCTCAGTATACTGTTATGGACCTTCCTTCTTTTCATCAGCAGCTAAAACATTCCACTCACCAAAATTCTGTGGGTCACTTTCAAAATGTCAAGTTGGTCCAGGCTGCAAAGTTCAAACATTCCCCACTCTGTGGCCATCCCACTACAGTATTTGCAAAATCATACTCCTGCTCCAATGTAATAAATGACTCATGTCCAACAGGAAAATACATACCATTCTCATTGGGACACGAAGGGATTCTGTTTGCCTGGAGTTTCCACATATATTCAAAGCTCCATTTCAAACACACCTTGTGGTCTTTATATGGTCGTTCAAAGGGTGGAACGGTTTCCAGCAAGATGTAATCCCTGGCAATTGCCCACAGGTAACCTTCTTTTTGTTTCACATGGAAGAAACTTCCTTGTTTATGGGTAATCCATGCATATAGTATCACTGTATGCACTATTAGGGAATGTTTGATAACATAATCATCTCTGAAAACCATGCTGCTTGGAAACTTCAAGTTCACGCTTCTATTCCTAGTCATGTGGAGGTGGTGGTTGTTCTCCCAATTCTTTTTATATACTGACACACCAGTTTTAAATTCCCATGAAGCTACAGCTTCTATTGTAACAGTGCAAGGTTTTGAGCATAAATAGACAACTGAAATTTCAGTATCATTGCTAACTCTTTTGTTCAAAACATTCAGACTAATGAAATCCTCATGAAATGCATTATATTCAGGCTGTGGAATGACAGGTGTTGTCATTAATGTCTCCACTCCAAAAGTTGGCACAGTTTTCTAAGAAAGAAAAAATGCATATAATGTTAGCTAGTTAATATTTCAAGGCAATAAATTGATTCCAAAGCATTAGTTGCTTTATTACTTTTTTTTAGTTATACAGCACTTTTTTTGGATTTGCAAACCAAATGGCATTTTGCTGTGTATTATGCATATTATCCATAAGGCTAATGATCAGAACATATGAATACTTAAATACATCATCAGCTACATTAACCTGTTTTTAATGGAGCAGTCTCTCCAAATGCTTTTCTGCCTGAAATGTTTTGGTTCATCTCAAATGGGCAAGTTTCCAGTCCCCACAGTATCATGGGAAAGTTAAATAATATGGCAAGAAAGATCAACAACAAGGAAACAAATAAAAAGCCAAAATTCACTGTCTTTCTGAAGAATGGTCGCTTTTACATCCGTGGTCTCCCAGACTTTCAAGGGCAGAAACCTGATTTGTCTTGGTGTAGATTCCCAACTAACTCTGTTGGGTCTCAGAGCATCATCCTACTATACATCAGCTAGGGATACTTATTCTTCTTAAAAGCCACGTCCTCAGCTTTCAGTCTACTTTAAATAGACCTCACCTAATCATGATCACTCAGGAGCAAGTTCATTGTTTTTCACTGAGCATATTTAGGAATGAGTGATCACAGTTAAGTGTTTTACAGCCCCACTGACACCACTCCTATATAGATTTCTAGGATACTGACAGCTCCACCCTGCGTTTGTCTACCTGCAAGTTAATCCAGGTGACTACAGTGGGAGAAAAGGACTTTGCATTCCAAGAGGACCACATGGATGAGTCTGGACACTCTGAAACCCTCCTGCGTTTCCCCAGTACCTTGCCCGCCTTTTTTTTCTGACCACCAAAAGAGTAAAAAGTGGAGGGAAATGGCAGCAACTCAGCGATGGGTTTTGCCTGGGCGCGTTAGGAGCTGTCCCTGCGGAAGCTGAAATTTGCCGGCTCGGGCACTGAATGATGGGCAGAATGCAACCAAGGGGGTGGGCGGCGGGCGCCTGTGCAACTGTTCGGCAGTTTCTTTGGCAATCCGGAATTGCCCATTCCTCAACTCCCGCAGCTCGCTGGCAACTGGGCAAGCAGGGAAGGATTGGCCCCGTTTGGCAACTCACCAGCAGCAGCCCAAGGAGGTGAAGGCAGAAGGCGCGGCCGCCGGGACGGCGCCTGGGGAGCCCCGCCGCGCATTCCATGGCGCTGCCCGCGTCTCCTTTCCTCCGCCGGCCTTGGCCCGATAAGGGACATCCTGCCACGGAGGTGGGGGGTGGGGGATCGGATCCTGCTTCCTGGACATGCCTCCGGCTCCGAGAGCCTGGCGGGGGGTGTGTGGGTGGAAGAGGCGGAGGAGGAAGCAGGAAGAGCCGCCCAGGGGCAGCAGGTGCAGCGATGGCCCGTCTCTCTCCCCCGCCCTTTCCTTGGCCAGACAGAGGTGGATTGGGCCCTTTCGCGTCCCCGCTCTTGCCCTGCCCTTCCAGCCCCCCCTTCAACTCGGAGAGACTCATCAGATTCCTCCTGCCCAAGGCTTCGCCACGCACGGAGTGATGGGGCGCCTGTAGGCAGGTGCAAAGCCTCTCTCCTTCCCCGACCTCCGCCTGAAGGAGTTGCACCAGCTAACCTTGAACAGGTTGAGGAAGTGGGCTTGAGCGACGACAACTCACATTACAAGACAGCCATTTGTCTTTAAAGATGCCGCCTCAAGCCATAGACAGATCCATGCCTACCAACCCTGCTACAGAACTCACAAGTCTGACATGGTACAACCAGGTACCATAAAAAAAAACTCCATGTACTTCACTGAGCCATTACGGTATTTGTATACTGACTGTGTGTACCTTTTGAATATTTCTTTTAAAGCTTAGCCACATCAGGTACATCGTCAATTAGCCACGGTAAGTAATACAAACCTTGCGCAAGGCCAATAGGATGAGGGCCAATGGCTTGTTCCTCCAGTGACACGCAGCACATTTAATACAGGGGTGTAGAAGGTCTAGCTCTCTAGATGTTGTTGAATTCCATCTGCACTCATTCCCTGCCCCTGGCTGTGCTGATTAGGATTGGTGGCAGTTGGAACCCAACAACATCTGGAAGACGATTTGCTGCCCAGCTGTGATTGAACAAAATAGTTGCAATACAACAATTGGCATGTTTATACAGAAGGAAGACCTACTGATGGGTGACCTACTCACAAGCAAGTATGCATGAGAGGGAAAGAAGAAGAAATCACTAGATGTCAGAAGCAAGAGAATTGTAATTTTGATTTCACTATGGATTGGAGTGTAGTACCTACTACATCTATCCTAGTTCATTAAAAGTGCCTTTGGAGGACCAGCCAGTAGAGGGTGGTTGTTCTAAGTGTTTCTTCAGAGGAGAGGCATGTCCTCGACTCTGAAAGAAGTGGAAGATATCATCACTGGATCCACCCATTTTTGATTATTTCTAGTTGGACAGCTAACTATTAGTAAAATGAGTGTATCAAGTGATGTAACATCTCTGATGTCAGAGCAGGCTGCAGAGGTACTAAACCATTTCTTGGGTGCAATAATGGCTTGATTGTGGGCTGGCAAATAATTCAGGACTTTGTTGATTTCTAAAACAGAAAAATTCAAAGTATTTTTGTTTGTTTGTTTGTTTTTGTGTTACTGACTGCATGATACAAAGGCTGATTCAACTTGGTCTAGCCCCATTTGTTCCCAAAGGGTCATTTCTCCTCTGCTGTTGGAGGCCTTCTACTTTTCCAAGCCAGGACAATTTGAATGGGCTGTTTTTTCATGCATGACAAAATCAGGGGGAAATGTGTGTTTGTGTGCAGGTGGTGTTTCAGTGATGTAGGCAGCTGGAACATTTTTTTCACACCCTAGGAGAGACACCCTGGCAATCTTTTCTCTCCCCTGGTTATCCTCCAGATTTAAAATAAAAAAAATCTTTCATATATGAGATTAGGCTAGATCACTCTGTTGCCTTATGGGGAGAAACTGAGTGATGTGCATAGATTTAATTATTTGATTTCTGAATGTCTGAATTGAAGATTTGCCTTTGGTCCCCAAAAAGAGTATTTCAAAGAACAAACATTTCAGAAGGGATTAAGCCCGCTACAGTCTAGCATATTTTGATATGCAAATAGCACAGAATGAAATAATACAGGAAACTGTGGTATATACCCAACTGGGAGGTAATTCTCACACCTGGTGGCTGGAAGCTATTTAGAGCTAAATGCTGGACAATTTTACACCAAAGCAGAGCCATGCCACAGGCCTCAGGTTGGGAGAAATTAAAAATAAAGCAACAAAGTTAAATTTGAAACCGAGAATAGTTAAGAGGGCGGACTTGTTTGGGCTTGTTTACATTTACATTTGCCTCACAATAAGCCGCATTTTAAATGGAATAGACTTAGAAACCATGTGGTCGGTCCCTCTTGGGAAAAACTTTTATTTTTAAAAAATATTTTTATTTTATTTTTTCTATTTTTCTATCTGTTGCAGCCAGAGTGATTTATTACAATATGTTCCATTTATTTAATCTTATACTCTCTAACATAGTATTAATCTAATCTATTCTACTTAAGTTGATGTAGATTTCATCCAGGTATAAAGAGGCTCCCATTTATTATTATCCAATCTGTCATTTAGTGTAGCAGTCCCCAACCTTGGGCCTCCAGATATTCTTGGACTACAACTCCCAGAAGCCATCACCATCACCTCTGCTGGCCAGGATTTCTGGGAGGTGCAGTCCAAGAACATCTGGAGGCCCAAGGTTGGGGACCACTGATTTAGTGTATCTGTCAAAATATCCATTTCTGCTAATTCCAAAATCTTCTCAATAAATTCCTTCTTTGTTGGCACCTTTGTCGTCTTCCACTTACTGGCATATATAATTCTAGCTGCCGTTATCAAGTGTAAAGTCAAGTGGGTCTTGTTTTTTTTTTAGTGTAGCTGGTAATATATTTAATAAGAAGCTTTCTGGTGTCAAAGCAATTTTAACCCCTAAAATTTTCTCTATCATGAATCGTTTTCCAAAATTCCTTGGCCCTATTGTAAGTCCACCACATATGATAGAAGCTCTCTACATTCTTTTCACATTTCCAGCACTTATTAGAAACATTTTTATGCATTTTTGTTAATTTCTCTGGTGTTGCATACCGTCTATAATACATTTTGTGTATATTTTCTTTTAGGTTTATAGATTTAGTAGTTTTAATATTTTGTTCCCAAATTTGTGACCAGGCGCTTAATTCTATATTATGTCCTATATTTTGAGCCCGCTTTACTATGCAATCCTTCACAATTTCATCTTCCATATTTTGCTCCTTTAAAGTATTATATGAACCTTTAATCAATTTTTCCTTTGAATCCAGCAACCCCTTATCCAAAGGTATTTTGTCTTTCTGAAACCCTATAGCTTTATCTTTTACATATCTTGATTTCAACAAGTTTAACGACCACCAGTCTAAGATAATACTTTGTTCTGCCAGGTCATCTTTGTTCTTTAGATTAAAATAACTAATATCTCGGTTTATCTCCTATTTGTCCCTTGAGGTTGTTCTTGCCAGATCAGAGAACGCTTCTAATGGAGCTATCCATAATGGTATCTTTTTGTAATTTTGTACCTTAACTGTCTTCCAGACCCATAATAAAGTTCTCCTGATCAGATGTAGATTAAATATTTTGCATTGCTTGTCATCTTGGTAACATAGGTAGGCATGCCAGCCCAGTCTTAAATCATGCCCCTCAATTTTTAAAAGTCTCTGATTTTGTAGAGTAACTCATTCTGTCACCCAGGACAGAGCTGCTACTCTGTAATAATTCATCCAATCTGGTAGACCAAACTCTTCTCTTTGTTTATTGTCCCGAAGAGCCTTAAGTTTTATTCTTGGTTTTTTCCCATCCCATACAAACTTGGTCATTATCTTATTCAGTTCTTTTAAAAAGTCTTGTTTTAATAATATTGGAATTGTTTGAAAGAGAAAAACTAGTTTTGGTAGTATATTCATTTTTATTGTGGCTATTCTACCCATTAGGGATAATTGGAGCTTAGTCTATTTTTGCAAATCTACTTTGATTTCTTTCATTACTTCCATATAATTGTCCTTCATTAATGTACTTGGTTTTTTGTCATATTAATTCCTAAGTACTTAACCTTGCACGTTTCTTGGCATCCGGAGTCTTGGGAAAAACTTTTAATCAATTTTTAAACTGGGCTGGATCTGGGTTGTATAGTGGCTTTTAGAATCGATGCATTTGGAGCTTTGCTTTTGAGTCATAGAGTCATAGTGTCATAGAGTTGGAAAAGACAACCAAGGCCATCCAGTCCAACACACTCAAAGTACTCCCAACAGATGGACATCTCGTCGTCATTTAGTCATTTAGTCGTGTCCGACTCATGGTGACCCCATGGACCAGAGCACGCCAGGCCCTCCTATCTTCCACTGCCTCCCGGAGTTGTGTCAAATTCATGTTGGTTGCTTCGCAGACACTGTCCAACCATCTCATCCTCTGCCGTCCCCTTCTCCTCTTGCCTTCACACTTTCCCAACATCAAGGTCTTTTCCAAGGAGTCTTCTCTTCTCATGAGATGGCCAAAGTACTGGAGCTTCAGCTTCAGGATCTCTCCTTCCAGTGAACACTCGTGGTTGATTTCCTTTAGAATGGATATGTTTGTTCTCC